AAAAAAAAAAAAAAAAAAAAAAAAAAAAAAAAAAAAAAAAAAAAAAAAAATATATATATATATATATATATATATATAAATTAAGAAACAAAACCAACTTATTATTATTACATATACATATATTTATATTTATATATAAAAGTGAAGCATGACGAGCTCAAAACGAGGCAGAGGTCGAAGACCGAATCTCCATCCTGATCCTCATTTAGCTAACAAAGAAAATCTCTCCACCCCTTTTTCATTTCTAGCTTAAACAAAAATTTTCAGTTACATTTAAAATGGGTTCTTGCCAAGCCTCAACCTCACCAGATATGTCTACCTTATAAGAAAATTATTATTATTATGATTAGTTAAAACAAATAGAGTGTCTTCAACTTGCACCTACCCCATACCATGTGAAGTGGGTTGAACAAAGCCTCGACAAACACACTCACGTCTAGAATATCCCACCACTATGAACTTCTTGCATTTGATAGCCAACTCATAGAGTTCTACCAGTGTTGACACTATAGTGTAGAGCCCTTCTTGTCTTACATTACAGGGCCCTCGAACACTCGAACAGCCTTCCCTTAATCGAGACTTGACTTCTTCTTTAGAGTCTTCGAACAAAGTATACCATTTGTTCGACACTTTAGTCACTTTTGACTACACCTTCGAGGCTCACAATTCTTTGTTTGACATTTGAGTATTCTATTGACATGACTAAGTTTAGGGCATGACTCTGACACTATATTAGTAAGCCAGACACTGAGCGGTGTATCAGCGAGGAAGCTGGCTCCCAAGGGAGAGGATCGTGAGATTCCACATCGATTGGAGAGGGGAACGAAGCATTACTTATAAAGGAGTTGAAAACTCTCCCTAACGTATATTAAAACTATATGGCTGACATCTTTGTGTAACGAGCAAAATCGGACAATATCTACTAGTGGTGACGTTTATTATTACGTCGTCCTTTTATAGGATTTCACTCTCTTCCACCCAATAATTGTATTTGGTTTGATATTTATATGCTTCTCTCTCCCTTTCCCCATATCACGTGGAGTGGATACCCCTCCACTTTAAACTTCTTGTACATGCTCACTGACTTCTATAGGTTTCTGAGTGTCGTGTCGTACTGTGGTGTAGAGCCCTTCTCGTCTTTACTTCTTCCATGGCAGCAACCACTCCCATTGTCGGTGTCAGCACCCTAGGGTTTAGTTGGCATATGAATTCAAATCGATAGCTTAATAATTGTTCATCGGTTAAAATCCACGTCTTAGTGCATTAACTGTTTATCAATTTTCACCTTTCACAAATGGGATCACATAGATCATGCATACGACTACATCCACAATGAGGAGGCTTATCGAGATGGTCAAGTATAACAGCCCAAATTCATCGCTAGCAGATATTGTCTGTTTTGTCTCGTTAAGTATCGTAGTTAGTCTCATGGTTTTACAACATGTTTGTTAAGGAGAGGTTTTTACATTGTTATAAGGAATGTTTCGTTCCCCTCTCCAATCGATATGAGATCTCACAATCCACCTCTTGAGTGCTCAACGTCCTCACTGGCACATAACCTAGTATCGGACTCTGATACCATTTGTAACATCTCAACCCCACCGCTAACAAATATCGTCTGTTTTGGCCCATTAAGTATCGTCATCAGCCTCATGGTTTTACAACGCGTCTGCTAGAGAGAGGTTTCCACACCGTTTATAAGAAATGTTTCATTTCCCTCTCCAACGATATGAGATCTCACAATCCACCCTCTCGAAGGTCTAATGTCCTCACTAGCACATAGCCCAGTGCCTGACCTGATACCATTTGTAACATCTCTACCCCACCGCTAAGAAATATTGTCTGTTTTGGTACATTATATATCGCCGTCAGCCTCACGGTTTTACAATGCATCTGCTAGGGAAAAGTTTTTGCATCGGTATAAGAAATGTTTTATTTCCCTCCTCAACTGAGGTGAGATTTCACTTTTTCCTGTTGAAAGTTGTGGTTGTGATGACAACAACAAAGCCACGTTGTGAGGATGGACAAGGATGTTCTTCATTGATACTCACTTTTCCCTACACTTGCATAATTTCCTTATCATGTTTGTGCTAGAATCTCACTACTTTTTGTTGGTTTTTTTTGTGAACCTATGTGCCTCAAGTTAAAACACGTGTGGAAAATAATTCATATGATTTAACCATTTTTTTTTCTTTTTAAATATTAATATTTTCTTTTGTACGTTGATTTTCATTAAGCTAACGAAGACATAAAACCATAAGTTTTTAAGGTTTTCAAGTTTCCAACAATGGCAGACAACTTCATCTATTGTCCACCATCCATAAGAACCGACGAAAAGATCATAGAGAGGAATAGAAGAGAAGAGATGAAGGCCCTTTTATCCGAGCTTCATTCTCTCGTCCCCAACCAAAGCTCAACGGTTTCTTTTCATTTTTTTTTCTTACTCTCTATATTTTTATAGTGTTTGAATGATGAAAAAATTTGTTTAAATAACTTCGAGAAAATTTTGAGTTGTTTGTAGGAAGGTGAAATGACACTGCCGGATCAACTAGAAAACGCTACAAATTACATAAAACAATTGAAGAAGAACGTGAAGAAATTAAAAGAGAAGCGAGAGAAACTAATGGGATTGGGAGAAAAAAGTACCATCACTAGTAAAAATAAAGCAAGATTAATTGTGCAAGTTGAAGCTCATCGAGTAGGTTCTTTGTTGGAAATTCTTTTGACTACTGGGTCTGTTTATTCGTTGGTTTTAAGACAAATCATTCAACTCCTTCAAGAAAATGGAACT